TGGATGGCTAATGGCTATATTTCATGCAAAGGAGGATGGGAACCGGAAGATATTGGTAATCAGATTTGGAATGAATTATGTTTGATATCTTTTTTCCAAGACGTGGAGAACTATAACAGCGATATGCATTTCAAGATGCATGATCTTGTGCATGATCTTGCCCAATCAATTATGAAGGATGAATGTGAAATGATCGAGTTTAACAGTTCAAGTAATATATCCAACGAAAAAGTTCATCATGTAACATTGGTTGTCGGGCGTGGGGATAATTTTAATAACACATTTCACAAAGTTGTAACCATACGGACATTACGACTGAAGTATCCACCAACTATCTCATTTGAAGATGACGAGTTTTTGTGTGATTTCAGCAAGTTTGGTTCACTGCGAGCTTTTGATACAGGAGACAGAGAAATGCATGAGTTGCCATCTTCAATTGGCAACTTAAAACATCTGAGGTATCTGAACCTTTACCATACTCTTATCAATCAACTTCCTGATTCAATTTGTAGTCTCTTCAACTTGCAAACATTAATTCTAGAGTTCTGTTTCAAACTTGAGAGATTACCCCAGAACATGATGTACCTGAGAAGTCTCCGACATCTTTATCTGTTACATTGTCCGTTAATTGATGAGATGCCCCCAAAAATTGGGCAGCTAACTAACCTGAAGACATTAAATACATTTGTTGTGGGTAAGAGCACTGCTTGTAGTCTCCTAGCTGAATTGAAATGCTTAAACCTTGGAGGAGAAATTCGTATTGAGCACCTTAAGAGAGTGAGTAATCCGATGGATGCAAAAGAAGCCAATTTAGTGGCAAAGCAAAATCTTAGTCAGTTGCAACTAAATTGGGAATATGGTTCGGCTGAATGCAAATCACAGGGAAATGTTGAATCTGAAGCACAGGAAAATGTTAAATCTGAACTAGTACTTGAAGCCCTTCAACCTCATCCAAACCTAAAGAAGTTGGTCGTAAGCGGGTACAAGGGTACTCGATTCCCACTCTGGATGAGGGGTTCAGATCTTCAAAATGTAGTTTGTATCGAGCTCTACGGGTGCAAGAACTGCTTACAACTTCCACCGCTTGGAAAACTACCTTTGCTACAAAGCCTTCTAATACGGGGAATGGAAGAAGTAGTGGGGTATATTGAAAACGAATATCCTGGCAGTGGAGGATTCCCATCTTTGGAAGAACTCAGAGTTTACGAGTGTCCGAAATTGGAAGGTTTGTCAAGGGAGGAGGGAAGAGAGTTGTTCCCTCGTCTTCGTAAGATAGAAATTAGTGATTGTCCTAAATTGAGCTTGCCGCATCTTTCGTCTCCTAAAGAATTGTGGTTCAGCGGCGAGTGCACCATGGTACTAAATTCAGTATCAAATCTTAATAGTCTCACTTCCCTAACTATAGCTCATGATGAAGAGACGGTTTGTTTTCCAAAAGAGTTTCTGAGGAACCTTACTCTTCTTGAGTCACTATCAATTTTGGGTTGGGGAGAGCTTAAAGTGTTGCCTGAAGACCTTGCAAACCTTGTCACATTGAAGTCATTGAAGATCAAAGGATGTCGAAAGCTCGAGTCTTTGCCAGAGGAAGGAATACGAGGCCTTGAATCTCTCCAATCGTTGGACATTATGGATTGCCCGAGGATTGCATCGCTTCCGGCGAGTATTCAAAGCCTTAACAAACTCCAACGCATACAAATTATGTTTTGCGGTCGTGAACTGTTAAGGCGATGTGAGAAGGGACAGGGGGAGGATTGGCATAAGATAGCGCACATACCAGAAGTCTCTATTAGTCAGGTATATGATTCTTCTTTTGCTCACTGAATTATTAGTTGGTTTACAGCTGTGACACTATATTAAATAAATAGCTAAGGGGTAATCCACTTATAAACAAATAATTATAAATAAAAAAAAAAATCACCAAATAATAAATTAACATTTACCTTAATTTGTTTAATATCTAAATTTGAATTTGAATATTTTCTCCAATTTGTAAAAGTTGTTAAACAAATTAATCTCAATTTGATTGAGATTTCAACAATAAGGTTCCGTTTGTTCAGCTATAAAATAATTTTTATGTCAGGTGATTTTGTCCAAAAGGGAATTTTTATTTTTATTTTTATTTTTACATGTTTGGTTATCACTAAAATATTTTCTACAACAAAAATATTAATAAAGGACCGGATTATAGAGTAAACTTTAAAAAGAAGAAGAATAAAGAAAAATAATATTTATATATATAATTTTCATATAGAATTAAATATAAATGATGTGACAACAATACTCTTGCAATTCTGAATTATAATAATGAAAATTTTGATTTTTAATGAGTGGATGTAAATGTAACGTCCCATTACGAATATTTTAGGGATCAAAATTATGTTTTATTCATATTCCTGCTATCAATGTAGACGGACGTTAAACTTACGACCAAATTGACTAAAATTGACAACTTTAAGGACCAAAATGATAAAATTAAAATTTAAGAAACTAAAATGAAAAACAATACATACTTTAGGAACTAAAATTGTCTTTTATCCTTATTCAAGAATAAAATAAGACAATGATTGAATATAACAAAAATAATAACCCCAAAACTTAATTTCGATCAATTACTCAACCATAATATATATACAAGTACATATATACATATATGTACGTAGGGAGAAAGAGAACAAACACATTCAGTGTGTATGAAAAAATGAAACTTAATATATACGTCGAATAGTATTGACCGTGATATTTTACGACAAAATAAACATATCCCAAGACATTAGGTGTAATCATGTACCAGGACTTGTGTGATGAATATTACCTCTCATGACAAACATTTGTCCTAAAATTGATTAGGCTTGACATGTTTCACATGATTCATAATTTGAACTTCAATTTCCATTGTCAATCACAATTATTGGTTAAAAATAGTTTCATATTTTCTTTTAATTGTTTTTGTGCTTTTTAAAGAAAGGTTGCCCAAGAAAATTTTCACATTCAAGTGTATCCGAACTACTTGAATTGAAAGAACTTATCTAATGGTTGGTTTATCCAGTTCTAAACCAGGCCTTACATTAGCAAAATCTGAGCTAAATGTTCTTCTTCCAACCTCCTTTCCATCAATATCGTCGACTGCTTCTTTAGATTTTTTATAACTCTCATCGTCTCACCTATGTTTCATCAATGATGCATACATGCATAGTTTGAGAATAATCGTTATGAAATGGTGGTCCGCATATCTAACCTTCAGCTAGTTCATATGCATATCTGACCTTCAGCTAGTTCATATTAAAGCAGGACAAATTAATGTAACAAATTATTTGAAGGCAAATCATTTGTTTTTCTAAACCTGATTATGTTTGAAGAACATAAATCATTTATTCATATTTAACCTGAGCTATCTAAGATTATCTATTTGGATTGGTTTTGATTCAAAATGGCCTTAGAAGCATAAATGTCTAAAGTATACTTTCTATGCTGATAGTACGAATTTGTGGTTACCTATGACAGCTCAGGTACCCATACCCGAAGAACTTGTGAGCTCATTGAGTCCTCTATGATTCAGAGATTGTACGTTTCATCTTTATAGATTTTTGTTTTCTTTTGTTTTTCTTAGTCATTGGAGGTAATATTATTGGTTTTGTAATAGCAGGTTTTGCCATGCCCTTGGGTCATGATGGCTGCTGCTAGTATTGAAGTGGCTGTAGCATCGGCAGAGGTTATCTAATAGGAGGTAGATTGAGTCAATTGTTCTGTTATCTAACTCGACTGTGTTAGTTTCTCTTTTGCAGAATAACAGATAAATATAGACCTTATTTGTCAGTGTGTAATAATGTTAGTGGCGGTAGATACTGGAGACTCTAGCCTGCTATATGACTGTTTTTTGTGCTTTTTATTGTTTGTGAAGATCAATTTCTGCGTATAATAATTTGTGAGAATGTTAATTTTGAAGTCTTTTACTTGTGTCATGAGTTTTGTGTGGATTATAGCTTGCATAAATTTTACAAATTAATTGTCAGTGTATGGAACTCCACGTGGAACACATTTGGCGGGTCATGCTTGATGAAGTCTTTTACTTGTTCATTAGAGCATCCATAGCAGTCTACTTATATTTTATCCTAAAATATTATTAAAAAAGTTATTTCCTATTTTAGAAATCACTATTTCATTTACTACCCCCAACAAACTACCTATTTTTTCTGTATTCTATTAAAATAATCTTTTACTTCCCCCAATAAACAAGCCCAAAATAGAGAACAAAACACGCCCAAAACAGAGAGCAAAATAGCAACAGCAAAGTAGCAGATCAAAGCAGCTAAAAACAAAGAAGGGCGGTCAACCAGCCGGACGATCGGGTGATCAACCGATCAGGCCAATTTTGAGCACTTTCCTTCTCCAGCTACAAGCACTCATGAGACATCTGAAAGGACATCTAGGGGACATCCAGGAGGACAACCCCTTCGCGCTTTCAACGAAATAAAATAAGAATTTATCAAATATGAGGGAGCTACAATGACTCCCTACAAATAGCGAGTCACTGTAACAACACTTATATTTGAGGGGTTGGATAAGGGATCTGCTCGGGAAGGATTTCTGAATAATTAACCCCTTGTAATAGCAAAAAACTATTATAAGGGAGCTGCTGAGGATGCTCTTAGGGGGGCAACCGCCAATGTTCCAATGCCAAGTTGGTAGTGACCTATTTCAAGGCTGGGACCTGCTGTTATAATGAAAAAAGATGATATTAACACTATCTAGCTAAAATATAAACCCCCTCTTGGATTTTCAAAGCTATCTAAATTGACATGAACTCACAAAACCCTGTGTCTCTCAAAGGGTACTAGAAACTCTGCACAGCATATTGAAAATGTCTAAAATCAAGGAATACACATAGGCCCTGAGAAATTTCCTTTCATGTGAGCCCTCTCCATACACCAATTGGTTATGTAAATAATGCAACAAGCTAGTATTTATATTGGTACCAAAATCAAGGATTAAAGAACAGGACACAAAATAAAATAAAAAAATCTATATTCATCTTGCACATAAACAACAAAGTTTTCTGTTTTCACACTGAAATTAACAAACAATTGCTGAATGTAGTTATAAATCTTCCCCAGAATATACATATGAGCTAAATTTTCATGGTGTCCACTGATTTGAATGGGGAACAACATGGTAAACACAGCATCGCTAACCCAGAAACTCTCATTCTCTAAACCATAGCATACACACACACACATATATAGTTATGTACGACTTTTATTCTGACAATGTTCACTGTTGATTGAAATGGTAGGAATTTGTTCTTTACTCTTTCCAATGGTATTCAAGCTAGGCGGTTTGGCTGCTCCGTAATAAAAGAATGCCATTATTTTTGACAACTCATCTGCTGTTCGAATCACAGAACACCAGGAAAAAATCATTTATAATACAATTATTATGATTCAAGGCTGAAGCTGTGTCAAGAATATAATTTATTAACTAGAAAATTTACCTTTCTCACAGTATAAGATCTTTCCAGCTTTAGTGAAGATAAGCTCTGGGAAGACGAGCACTTGTAGAGCAGAGACTAAATCAAGCTCAACAACAGCATCTATTGCAACACACTGTTTGGTAGTTGAAAATAAAATATATGTTAAAAGGTGGGATGAGGATAATAAAAAATAAGCAAATGGCTTTACTTACTCTTGGTGATGGTAGCCGACAGTTCCATACGATATTTACAGCTTTCTCCAATTCATCCTGCATCCTTTCATTTTCCAGTGGTCTGCAGAGATTCACAAGTTTTCATTAAATAATAAAAATATACTCTATAATAAATCTAGCATTTTTGCTATAAAATCAATCATATGAAAGTTTGACATCTCATTAAAAATATTCTGATAGCTTCCAATGCACCATGGAAATTCAACATCAATAAACATCGCCAATTAATTGACCCAAGCCTTTAGAAATTAAATAACAAACAGAATTTTTCTTTCCCTTCCTTATTAGACAGTGATTGCTGTAAGCATACAAGAAATTGTGAAAGAACACTCGAGTTGAGTAGTTGTAAGTAGCAATATAGAAAAGTGTGAAAGGTCAGAAGACCAATTAATCCATGCGCATTGACCCATTGGAAGTAAACTTCTATAAGTAGAATGAGAAGAATGAAAACAGATTCAATGTGTAAACCAGATAGCCATCAATCACATAAATTGAAAATTGGTACACAAGATGGGTAGTTGTTACCAAGGAATATATAGAGAAGTGTTAAAATCCACCTACTCTCCACCTACTTCACCCACTTAAACCTACTCCACTAAACCTAACCCACTACACCACTACCACCTCACCTACTCCACTAAACCTAACCCACTACACCACTACCACCTCCACTTCACCTACTCCTTACCTACTACACACTCACCCTCTTCTATATATAGGAATCATGAATCATTGTAATATATATCAACATATCAATCAATAATACAATTCTCTACTTCTTTTTATACATTGAATTTTTACAAGAAGTCACGGGTTCACCAAGACTAACAGGAGAATCTCCATGAATTTGTAATTAGATACAGTATGAGGCACCAAAAGAAGAACATCATAGCATTACAGAAGCAACTAGAACTTCAGAAGATCATATCACTTCCAATCTGGTAAATGGGGATCAGACATCAATGCACAGGCATCAAATGGAAATGAGAATTACAAACCATACTAGGAACCAAAAAGAACATGAAGCAACGTTGTCCAAGACTGCTAAGACAACTAGTACTTTATATCAAATGGCTGATGAATGTTTATCCAGTCAGAATTCAGAACCAAGATGTTCAGGAAAAATACAAAATAAAAAAATTCAACTAGAGGGAAAATGGAGCAACCTGGAAGGGAAAAAAGAAAGAAAGAAAACACTGAAAACTAACCTTCTATATCGATTATGCACAAAGACAATCAAAGGACTGAAGTCCTTGAATACAGTCTCTTCCCATTCTCTAGTGGTGATGTCTTTGATTGGACGAATGTAATCGTCATCTTGCCACACCAATTCATTTTCACTATCATAATTCTCATCATCATCGTCCTTCTTGACATTTTTAATAGTAATCTTGTCAAAGAATTGACCCAAGCTGAAACCCCACCCATCAGAATCTTCGGGCCAATCAGGATCATCCTCCTCCACAACAAGTGGATAATAAGCCAAAAGCTTCTGCATCTTCTTCCTCCTCTCGACAGGGTCTACCTCCTCTTTGACATCCGGATTCATATCAATCACTTCTCTAATCTTCCTCCTCCATTCTTGCCTCTCTTCCTCATCCATAAGTAAAGTATCCTCATCCATAAGTAAAGTATCATCATCCTCCCCATCTCCCACTAGATGCTTCTCCATCCTTATTCCCCCCATCATCATCAGGATTGAGTCTTTCAGCTATTCTAGAAGCTCTTAATTTGCCTAATCTGAAACCACCAGCCTGCCTTTCATAATCAAATTCACAGGAAATATACGTCAGGAATATGCAAGCTAAAATAATCTTTATAGCAATTAGTACTATAACATAAAGGGGCGCACTAAGGAGGTGACTTTGGAAAGTTTGGTGACGACATTGACAGGGTAGAATTGTCCATCCTTGAGGAAAGCACACCAGTTTTCCCCCGTTTTCCATTAAACTGAATAGTAGTAGTGGTAGCAGCAATGGAAGAATAAGGGGAATCTTTAAAATTTTGCTCTTTCAGCGGATGAGAGAAAAAATGTCTGAACCCAATCGTATGTTGTAGCACCATTTCTGTATAACAACACAAAGCAAGAATAAATGAAGAGTACAAACTTATATATATATATATAGAGAGAGAGAGAGAGAGAGAGAGTATAAATTCAAAAAAAAAAAAAAATCAGGAATAAACAAACAAGTTTTCAGCAACTGCATGGGTAAAAATTCCAAAACTCTAACTCTTAAACTTGCTTCTTTCCTATTGTATTCCAATCCATTTTTTGAGCTCTATGACTTATTTTTTGTTTGTTATCCTAATTAAGAGAACCACTATAATATTATCATAGGTAAAGGAAATGAGGTGTTAAAAATGCTACATAAAAGCCATTTGTTTCTATTACATTACAGTCAAGAAATTACAAAACAGGCAAGGGAAAAAATTTATGATAACCAAAATGATCCCACAAATATATGAATGTGCTAATTACAAATGCAACGGAAATCAAAACTCATCTCTAATGTTGAAAAGTAAAATGAACAGATTTATTCCAAGGATTTTGTAACCATAATGACGTGGCAGTGTTATGTTGGGTAATTAAAGACATCTCCATGAGTTCTTTCTTTTGAGATGATAGCTCAAAACCCAGCCAAATCATTCAGTATAACTTTTCAGCATAGATTTTTATATTTGTATATCACTACTCTTATTTCACATACACAGTTGTGCATAACTTTTTTCTTGGCTTGTGAACTAAATACCAAGGTAGCTAAGCATTGAATTTCACTAGAGAAACGGGTTTAGGTGGCAAAAAGGGCAAACAAAGCACAACTTGGCCCCAAACACACATGACCTTACAACTTACCTTTCATACCTCCCAAACAGAAAATCAAAGAATCAAAAAAATTCTGTGCCTTTCAATTGAAATGATCCCCCAAAAAACTCTGCAAAATTGAGTAAAATTCAAAGCAAAACTATCCCCAGAATGAGGGGTTGTTCCAAAAATTCAGCAAAACACAAAGATTTATCGACCAATGTTCAATGTGAATGGTAAAAATTGAATAATAAAAACCAACCGAATCGTGAAGGGCTGGTGCTCATCTACTGGGTTAACACACATAAACCCTAAACAGCAGAAACAAAATCAAATAACCCTAAACCATTAACAGAGAGAAGAAGACACCTGAGACCACTGAATGCTCGGCTTCTAAAAGTGGAGGCGGTGGGGAATGAGGCAGAGAGCAGCTCGAGGGAGGCAACGGGGGAAGTGACTGTATCTGTATGTTTGTTTGGATGGGTTAAACGTTTGTTTAAGAAATTAAATAAATAATAAATTGTGAGAAATAAATTCTTTTATTTTATGGGAAATTACAAAAAAATAATTTTATTATAAAAGAAATTCTAAATTTTTAATTTTATTAATTTAAATATTATATTTTTGGTTTATTTTCAATTTAATTTATTTCTCTATTAATGATGAAAAAATCTAATTGATCTGTAAACCACAAAAAAAAAAAAAGAACATTAACACTCATATATGGCTATATTGATTTTTTAATGAACGATGAATATTATTTGAAAATTAAAATATTTATTTTTTAAAAAAATATATAATAAATTAACATGGTTATGGTTATTTAATCGATTTTTTTTTTTAATAGATTATCTGCTCGGTGTGGCCTAAAAATTAAACAATTTATATTTTTAAAACGTGACCTGTGATGTGTCCGACAAACCCAAACAATATGATTTTGTACGGGAGACAAGTTGTGCCCTTAAAGCAAATTAGTAACATTTTTGTTCTCTCTTTTTCAGAGTGGTGCTATTAGTACTCTATGAATTATTTTGGACCCCCATTTCTTTCAGTCCCTACTTCTAAATTTTGAAATCCTCAAAATTTCTTTTCCCTCCAAATAATATCAAAATTATCCATGCGAAAATATTCTACCCATTGAATGCACACCTCCCACACCCCAGAAAACCCCTATTCCAAAAAACCTTTACAAAACCCACAAAGAAAAAGAAGAGCCAATGAGATTACTGTCTCTGCTGTCTTATCTACTGTCACACCCCAAATCCGGGCATGACCGGCCGTGGCCCACAGGGACTTAAAGGCACACGTAAGCCTAAACATGAATCCAAAACCATAAAGAATAAATGTGATGATAGCCCAGAAATAAATAAATCAAAACTCAATCTAGTAACATGCCACAAATGAAAAACAAGTCATAACCAACTTCCTAAAAATATATATATACTAAATGAGACACAAACCGCCCACAAAATAAAATAATTCTAAACAAAACCCAACCACAATGTATGCACAAACTCGACAAAGCAACCTAAAACAAATTAAATAAATGCCCTAAAGGTCCATGCAATTGAGTCCCCGCTACGCCATGAGTCCATTCTAAATCCTTCTAACACCTGGAAATGGTAAACAACTAAGTCAGCTGATAGCTCGGTGAGTAGCAACATGGATAGTAAATACAGTTTTGAAAACAGGGTTCAATTCCAAAATAAGATATATATCACAGAAACTAGATTGGCATACAGTTTGATAAATACAATCTGTTTCAAAAAGAAGATTCCACAATTCAACGCTTAAAATACTCACGTCTCACAAGAACATGATAAACGACATTTTCCACTTAAAACAGATTATAACATGAACACCAATAATTTTCTGGGTACCAATAAAAACAAATAATCTGCCACACAGTTCTCAAGGCTATAAGCCCCGTTGGATCCAATACCGAACTAAGAGTCATCCTCAGGGTGGCACCTGGGCCTTTTCTCAAAGACGATCCGATTGAAGGTCACCTAGTTGTTTTTAAAGGTCTTTTCCTTACAATCGTTGAGCACTAGAGTCATCACGGCCCAACCCGGATCTGTTCCCTAGTGGCCAGAGTCACCACACACAGTGGAATAATTTCCCTGGACTAAATACACACATGGTCCCAATAATCAATACACATCAGTTTCGCAAAACATGGTGGTTCATCATTATAAACATGAGACCAAAACAAATAGTTTGCAGTATGCCAAGTTCACACATGTTTCAGAAATAATTTGATTCAATTGATAATATAATAATTTATCAAAACAGTTTAGTCTTGAAACAACAATTTAATTTTCCAACAGTTCAGGGTAGGGGAACATTTATAAAAATACGTAGCATGAAACTACTCACCTGAAAACGAAATAATATAATCCTCGAATAGAGTGTAAAGGTCCAACTAGTGCCCTGAACCAATATGAAAACTACACGTCACTACTAATTTAAAAATACTAAAGAATACGAACTAAGGAACCCCAAACTAAAGCGCACTAACACGGCTCAACCCAACTCACCATTACTCTTAAATATTGCCTAAGTTCATGTTCTTCAAGGTCTAACATCACCCAAGACATAGGTTCCGATCGAAACTTAACCAAAAATAACTTTAAAATAAAACAGTGTTTTAAACAAGCCTTCCCAACCTATTCGCTAACTTTGAAAATTACAAAACCCACTCCACGCTTTTCAAAAAATTCCAATAACCTCCAAATATGATCTAATATATCCTAAGTGTAACGCCCTCAAAAAAATAACATCAAACCCATCAAATAAAACATACATTGATATGTAAAATAACTTCATTCTTTATTTATCAGTATTCCTTTACTTAAGTATTACATGTTAACAACAAAAGCAAATGCCCTATGGGCTTACAGCTTTCCAAGTTAACACTTGGTTACAACAAAAGAGTACTAACTCATACACTTTAAGCCCTTGGCTTGAAATTACATGTAATACACCAAAAAGTAAAACGACAAAAGTATGTCCGCCTCTAGCCTCCCAAGCTATGTCCTTGGAGGTGGCATGCTACCTGTACCTGAAAATGATATTCCCATATAGGGTGAGCCACAGCCCAGTAGAAATACACTAAACCAACCATGAACAATGACTAAAAGATTAGCTATTGATAGATGGCCAACACTGATACATTCACATAAATCACATATTTATGTCATACGACTTATGAGTCCAAGTTACTTTTCATTTTCCCTTTTTCAACAGATAAGCATGTTAGCTCTATCATTATTTCAACAGATATGTATAAAAACTATATCCCACATTAACTGATAAGCATATAAGCTATATCCACATTCTCAACAGATATGTATAACAACAATATCCCACATTCACAGATAAGCATATAAGCTATATCCATACTTCTCTAGACAAACATAAGAGCTGTATCTACGGAGTTCATCCCCTATCTTCTCCCAACACTATCCAGTTTAGAGGTACATCCCCTATCTTCCCCTAAACCGCGGAGTACATCCCCCATCTCCTCCTCTACACATAACGTATATAAACACATTGGTTCTATATACAATCACTCAATACATATATCGATATACGAAGATATCATCACGTACTCAAAACGGTTACATCTGCAAAAAGAAACCAAAAAAAAAAAGAAAAAATCATTTATAATATAATTAATTTCAAGCTTACAGAAAATATAAAACATTTGATATTTATTTCAATAAATAAATAAGATGGCAAGTTCCAATATCGATATGCAAAGATATCATCACGTACTCAAAAGGGTTGCATCTGCAAAAACAAAAAAAAACAAAAAACAAAAAACAAAAAAACCAAAAAACCAAAAAAAAAAAATTATTTACAATATAATTAATTTCAAGCTTACAGAAAATGTAAAATATTTGATATTTATTTCAATAAATAAATAAATACAAAAAAAATATTGTAACATATACATGCACTGCTAGAAAATCCACTTTTAGCGGCGTTTAAAAAACACCGCTAAAAGTACTAAAAACGTCGCTAATTCTTTTTGTGGCGTTTAGTACCAAACGCCGACGACGCGGCCGTCGCTATAACTTTATGGCGTTTGAAA